AGTTCGTCTACCCCATTTTCGTGCTAGAAAATCACTATACATATTACTAATTATTAACACACACAGGTTAAGTACATTTCATTTATACTGCAGTGATCAAACTATCTATAATTCATTTAGTATTGCTTGTGTGAATCTTCCCATCGATGTGTTAAGACTGCAACTGGTCAGTCTCTAATTGGCATATGTGCATACTGCGCGTATTGCCTCGATATAGCCTCAATTCACAAGCATGTTAAGCAGAGATGGATAGTGGCTAGCAGCGAGGGTACTGGGTTCGAGTCCTAGAGTGAACATCAACTTTGAGATGCAGGTACATCCAGCTGACGAGTGCTAAATAGGACGAAACGCGAGTCCTGGATTCCACTGCCAGCCACTATCCATCTATCTATAATTCAATTATAAAAATCTTAGCAAATTCAGCATTATTATATACATTTTCCAAATACTCTTGAATATTATGCCACACATCGTAAACATACTACTGATAGACGAATCAACTTAAGAATGCAAATAATGTGCAACATCAAGATTCATATGAAGCACTCCAACTGTTGATCAATAAAATGATCAATTATGAATGTGACAACATATAGATTATTCAATCCATTAAATTTTATAATTAAATAATATATCTGAAATACGTTTTAATTACTGATAAATACATTGATTTTGTTTTTAATGAAAACGTTATAACTTTTTCCACATAGTGGACATTCATCACACGTTTGAAGGTATATTATTAAAACATGAAGTAAATTATGAACTCTCAGTATGGAGTCGTGGAGATTATTGAATTTTATTGAAATCATAAACAAATCTATGTTAGATCACCATTTAAAACTTAGAAACACTAGATGACTATTTCATTTTGGTAGAGAATTGCCTATAAGTGTATATCCACAAACCCCTAACCGTGAATCAAACTCAAAGACTTCGGTCTAACACACGAATGCTTAATCCTTAGGCTAATGTAATTTATTAGATTTAAATTGATTTTACTCCACATAATAATCAGCTGATATCAAAATAATATCATCCCGTTTAGTATTTTGTGCTAATCATTAGACAGCCACCCTTTTTACTGGTATCCCAACGGTAAAGTATAAATAACAATAACCGATTACAATTATCACAATCAAAATATCTGCTTCATTAAACTTAATTGAGTTAATAATAGTATTGTTTTATTTTAAAATAAATTTCTTATCTAAACTGGAATGGTGGCTTAATAATTAGATTTCAATCATTTTCAACTCATTTTATATTACTTTTATCTAAACAGTTGGGTAATATTACTATTCCATACAAATATACAATGTGACTCGAATTCAAGCATCTATAACATGTATTCAACAAAGGAATTACTCATTATTCATAAATCTAGCGGTAATAGAATATGTTATTAAAAGCAAAGGCGGCTAGTGGCTAACAGTGGAATCCAGGACTCGCGTTTTGCCCTACCTGGGACTCATCAGCTGGACATACCTACATCCTAGAGTTGATGTTCACTCCGAGACTCAAAATCATTGCCATTTGCTTCAAGCGCCATCGCATTATTCACTTAGCTACTGAGTTCTGATAGCCACTTGCATGTTCAATGGGGATGAAGGTACAATTAGTTGATGACCAAATAGAGACCAAATAGAACGAAACACGCGTCCCGTATTTCACTGATAAGCACTATCTATCTTTGCTTATAATTCTTTTGAATTAAGGCAATATCGAAATAATATGGACAGTATCCACATATGCCAGTAAGAGACTGATCAACTGCAGTCCTAAACATCAATGGGAAGTTTCAAGTAAACAATCTGTCCTCCTTGAATACATTGTGCAAAGATATTTTTTACATGATCTGTATATTTATCAATCAGTTTAAAGTTTACCATAAGAATCTTTAAGTATTTAAGTTTTATGATTAGAAAAATGTCGATATAAATTGTTGAATTAATCACAATTGATTGATCACTGGGTGGTGATCAATGTCATGCGTGTCAAGTCCTTCTTAGTGTTGATCGAATGCTATCGATCAAGTTGCAATGTGGTCACTAGCCTAGGTAGCTCGACACTGCGTGCACAATATTGAGATAAGATGGTGGTTGGAGGTGGCCAACAGGAGACCCTGGAACCTGGTTTCGTGCTACTTGGCATTCGTTGATAATAATCCTTTCAAAATGCATTAATTTTATTATGATTACTACATACTACCTAAAGATAACTATAAGCCATTGTTTTTTGGTATCACTATCAGTTTTTCCTTTCAACATGGACCGTAAATATTTTCAATATCTCCTCTCAGAATTTTTCAGATGACATAGTTCATTGAAAGTACTTTTTTAAAGTAATAGTTAATACATAATTATACTGAAACATGGTAGACTATTAGTTATTTCACTATAATTAATCCCCTGGTTACAAACTAATCAACCTCAATTACATTTTTGAATGGATATTATTAGAATGAGTCAATCTTTGATATTATAAAGTGAATGTACCAATCATAATTATTTTATCATAAGTTCTTACAAAATACTTATTTTTAAATGAGTAATGTTTTCTTTTTATTTGTCTTCATATTGCATAATCAGGATATTGTTCATGTGTAACCGATAAATAATTCACATGTTTCTTAACGAATACTTTTTTTGATGTTTAGTCAACCAAAACATAAATATGAAAAGCTTTTCAATCTATTCTAAATTGTAAGTCCTTCTGGCATACTAAGTTTACAAGCTTAGAGAATAGGAACTTCATTTGCATTAATGACATTGAGAACTTTGAATGCTCGTAAGATTATAAAACATCATTATATATATATGTTAACTTATGTATATGTGGTTGTGTTTATTTAGATCTATTCATTAAAATTGCCTTAATGTAGATGTATATATGAATTTCGATACGCTTCTATGATTCTGACATATGTATTTAACCATCCAGTATAAATTTAATTACAAGACAAAACACATACATACAAAAATTGATTTTCAGAAAAGTTTTGCATAATTGCTTAAATTTGATGGAAAAATTTTTGCGCAATGTTCAGTTATTACAAATAAAGGCTTATCAATCACTTGAAATGGTTTCTACCTTTTTTTTTTCTAAATAAGGAAGACTGTTTAACTGATTAGAGATGTATATGACCTTTTAAATAGAACGCCTTTGGTAACATTTGTGTCTGGAACTTGTACATAGCTACAATGGTAAATAACGAAAGTTAATTTATTTCAATTTGTTACCTTTGTTATGAATCAACTCCAGACAGACTACTTTTTGATATATGTATATTCACTAATATATATACGTATCAAAATTAACTTAAACAAGGTCGAATGTGTTTAGATTGATAGAAACCCTGGAATTTTGATAAAATTTCAACTACAGATTATTTGAGTTATCATTCATGAAATTTATATGATCCAACTTGTTTGTAAGTTTCAATTTTTTCGCTAATCGTTCAATGTTACAAGTTTTTCTTTTCTGGTATACAAAATTCTCCATAAAATAAAATAAAATTTAAATATCTTAGAAATTAAATTATAAAACTTTATCCTATTTCTCCTCAAATGTTTTTACAAATCATTCATTAGTAACGTACGTAACTAATAAAAGAAATATGACATTTCGTTTAAATAGTTGAGATAATAAGACAATTGAAGCTAGACCACTATGGAAAACCTGGAAGCACTGCTTGACGGCCGTTTCGTCCTATTATGGAACTCCTCAGCAATACGCATCCACGATCACGCCTCACGAGATCGAAACCCAAGACCTGCCAGTCTCGCGCCAGAGTACTTAACCGATAGACCACTAAGCCAGTATCCAACGGTGTTATTATTTAAAAACCAAGAGCGTTATCTTTCATAGATAAGTTTACACATAAAAAATTTTCTTTATACGACGACCATACCTTATAATAGAATATCTTTTCATATTAAAATTCATCTAGGCTAAATACCCTCTCAGTCTAATATTCAGTTTTCGGTTCCTCTTATCCTATGATTACCATAGACTTTACAAAACAGTATTCTTAGAAGTTTTCGCCTATTTATCATTTTTTTTATGATAGATCAATTCACACATAATTGATCATTCCTCCATTTTCCACAACTTTCTTTTTCATAATGAATGAATAATGTTATTGAGATAAATGAGTTTTCCAAAATTATGGAAAATAATAATAAGACGGAGAATTAAGTAACAGCCTGTGGATGACAGCCCTCATTGAATTAAGTTACTGCTTGAAGTATTCTATCATATGCTAATATCTTATTAGATTTACACATGTGGCTCTCATTTATAAGTATACACAAACAAAAGGCCAGTCTTAAACCAATCATGTGTATGTATGCACATTTATATATATATATATATATATATATATATATACATCCATACTTTAAGATGCTGTTCTATATCTTGATAAATCCATGTATGTTTGTACGCTTGCAAGAGTATATGAGCCTAAGTGAAAGCATAGAAGAAATTTGTTTCTGTCTAACAGACGACACACGTTTTAAGTAAAAGAACTCTTATGTCATTCTACTCAACTCAACTGTGACATAATAGACAGGTTTGATATGAGATAAAACTAAGGCACAAAAAAACTAGAAAGATGAGAGTTTAAGATAGAAGAAAAATAAAATGAATTAGGACAAAACACCAAGAAGATACGAAGAAAGAGAACGAAGACAATGACCTAGAAAAATCTTGTGATACATTTTATTGAAGAAAACATAAACTGACATTATCCAAAAATATAATCCTTATGATCATTATAATTATGAAGATGATGATGAGAAGAATAATAAAGTGATTAAAAATTTATTTACTTTACTTGTTGGATAATGAAATATCAACAATAACAATAATGAAACTGACTAGAAGGAAAAACAACTAGATAAGTAGAGTGTCAACTTATTTACTTTCCTCCATAAAAATATGAAAAACAAAATGTAAACATTAAGAAAAAAAAGGAAGTAGGTTATTAGATTTACCTGAATAACACGCATTGAAAGTCCAGTTTCTTGTGCTAATGACTCTCTAACATGCCTTGTTGGTTTAGGAGTTGCCGCAAATGCTGTTTTAAGTGTATCTAATTGTTTTGCTTTAATTGTTGTACGTGGACCACGACGTTTTGCACCACTACCATTATTATTATTATTATTTCCGCTATTTGTATTGAGGCCGATTCCAATATTATTACCAGGACCGCCACAACTTAAGCCACTTTCAATACCACTCGTTAAATGATGTTGACGATGATTTATTCCACATTGGCCAGTCATACTTTCGTCATCATCATCAATATCGTCATCATCATCATCATCAACTTCGACATCATCTCCTTCATCATCAACTAAACTTCTTTGTGATGATACTTCACTAGTTGGCATTTCACAACAGCTTGTCTGTATTGGTGATTCAAATGAATGAGATTGATGTAATAAATGGATAAATCTATCTTGTGAAGATGAAGAATTAATATCATTGTAATCATTTTCATGATCACTATGTAACATTGTGTTTTTAAACTCATCTAACTGCTTAGAATGATGTCTTCCGTTATTATTGTTATTATTTTCACATTGTTCTCTACTATTATTTATAGTTTCATCATCTTTATCATCATTATCATCACCTTCATCATCGTCTTCACTTATATGGTTAACCAGTTCCCTATTATCATCATTAACTTCATTATTATTATGAATCAACAAATTGACATTTTGTGCAAATCTATCATTGATAATCATTTTACTTCTACTTAACATTGCCAAATTATTATTATTATTAGTAGTAGTAGTAGTATTATCAATACAATGATGATTCGTATCAACTGTTAATGGAAGTTTCTCATTTCTTGTTACATAAACTTTATTTTTTGACTGATTTATAAGTTGATTTTCTTTATTTGATATTCGTTCATTAATAGTGGATAGACAAAATGTATTATGATTATATAAAGTTGAAAATGAATTCTCATTTATGAATAATTCATTATTTTCATTTACTTCTTTATTAATCCATGATAAATTATGATAGTTACTATTTATACTACTATTATTAACATTTGTAGTAGTATTAGTAGTATTAGTATTACTGTTACTATGTATCATTTCTTTTGTTATATGATTTTCATAATTATCATGAGTTTCATATAATTTTCTTAGACAATTTAAATTATTCTCATCAAGATATTTATCCATATCAATTTTAGCCCCTAAATTTGTAGTATGTCGTGTTAATTGTTCTGATTTTTTAAGAAATGGTTGATTACATTGAAATAATGGTATATTTGCATTGATTGATTGATCTGAAAGGAATGGTGTTGTATTTAGTATGGTATTATTGATTGATGTATTAATTATTGATTGTGAATGATCAGTTATAGAATTGGGTAAATATGATACTGTTGAGGAGGAGGAGGATAATGATGATGATGATGCAATAGTACGACTAGTCATTATATCTATCATTTCTGATGGAAATAAATAATCTGATTTTGTTTGGGATTGATATAGTAAATTTGTTGAATATTCATTATCTGATTGATTAGAGTTTTGTTGTAATTTAATTTCAAGTGTTGGTTGTGATTTGGCTATGGTTGAATAATATTTATCAGGTAAAGAATTTTCTGTTAAGATTTGTTGAGTATTGAATTCAGAATTTATGAGATTATTATTTGGGATAGAAGTTCCAATATCAGTGATTGGTTTAATTAGTTTATTGGTATCATTGATTTGTGTTTTGGAAGGAGAGGCTACAAAATATAATATAGTAATAATATAATAATAATAATAATCGAAAAATAGGATCTTTCATTTATCATTATCAATATATTAAGACTTCATAACGACATATTGTCTAAATAATACTTTAGTATATCTTAATGAACATATATTCCTTTTAATATTACGTTTGTGAATAAATGTGTCAGTTTCCATTGTTAGATCATTGACAATTTACCACCTTAAGTCTCTTAATGGATAAATACAACGTTCAACTCAACAAAACGGTTATTTTTGTTGATTCGAATATTTACAGTTTGAAATTTAGTTTGGCATAACAAATTGTTGACTATTCATTGGTGTATTTCACAGATTTATCGCTTATATAGACTCATGAATTCGATTATTAAAATTAATACAATCTCCACAAATCTCGTTCTGATCATAATCATCGTGTGCTCACTAATGACTAGCTTCAAGATGATTTCCTGCACTTCTAGTGAGAAGCTGTGACCAGACAGGCATCTACCTCAGATAATGGATGAACGATTGCGTAGTCAATTATGAATCGATGGAAGTTAGACATTAACACTATTGGATGCCGGCTCAGTGGTCTGGAGGTTAAGCGTTCGCGTATGAGACCGAAAGCTCCGGGTTCGGATCTCGCGTTTACGATCGTGGACGTGCACTGCTGACGAATCCCACACTAGAACGAAACTATCGTCCAGTGCTTCCATATAGGCAAACTATTTAATAGACACAAGGATTAACAGAGGTTCTGAATTGTGATCCTGCATATAAAGTTTAACTAAAAACTTTGTTATTAAGAGGTGAGCATAATATGACTTGTTATTAATTTATGTCTGTTACTTGAATTAATAACTAATGTGTTATAATTCAGTGAGTCAACGGTACCGCATTTAAATCAAGGCCTGAAATGCCTGATTATGATCCGTAATGTGGTTGTGAATAAGTCGTGATGAAAAGATCTACAATAAAATAAAATGGATGCCTAATTTTCGTTAGTTTTATCCAGTTCAAGTCAGTCAGTAATATGAACTAACAAAATTTTATTTTCAACAGCTATATACAGTCCTCTATGACTTTTACAGAGGAAATAAGAAAAAAGCAGCGAATGAAGATACATTTTACAGCAATACCTTATGCACACAATATCTCAATACATTTATCCATTTGAAATAGATTTACATTAACTTAATCCACACTTGATTGTTCAGTAAGCAATATTAGTCCCCATATATATTTAGAAAAATTCATAAATGACGTTATATAGTAATATACTGAATTGTTCACTTGATCTCATTTTCAACAACGGTGGTAGAAGAAACCATTCCATCAATGACATCATGCAAATTTTCTACAACTACAACTGTTTGATAATAGTAATAAATTTTTTTAACAAACAACATGACATTTAATAATAATGATTCTAAATGTAATTCTGTGTAATACAATTAAGTGATCAATTAAGTAAATATCTATTAGTTACTATCATTAAAAAAATATTACAATCATTGCATCAAATTCTCATTGACATGAGATGTGTATCTAAAAGATGATATCAAAGTTACTATGATGTTCACGTTGATAATAAGAAATTTACGGACAACTTAAAACAAGTAGATTCACTTGATACTGTTTGTTTGTATCTTCTCATTGTTGTTTAGGACTGCAATTGATCAATCTTTAATTGGCATATGTACATCCTGTACGAATTGTCCCAATCTTACCTTAATTCACAAGCTTCATAAGTAACAATGGATGGTTGCTATCAATAGAATCAAGACGCATGTTTCGTCCTAAGTAGATAATGCGATAGTGTTTGAAGTAAACAGTATTGGGTTCGAGTTCCGAAGTGAACATCAACTCTGGAATGCAGGAATATCCAGCTGACGAGTCCCAAATAGGACGAAACGCGCGTCCTGGATACCATTGCTAGTCACCATCCATCTTTGCGTAAAACAAATAGGATGAAATTTTTTTGCTGATATAAATTATTCGACATAAATCACAATAAAACGCAGATATAGAAGATAAGTGTATAGTAAAATGTATCGCGATTTTTTGAAAATAATGCGATAACACTTCAAATAATATTACTAACTACAACTGCATACAAAATAAAGTTTTATTCAGAAATGTCACACACTTCGCATAAACACAACTAAATAGTCATAAAACAGAAAAAAAGGGAAGATAATTCCTTTTTTCTTAAAAAGAAAGCACATAGAAACAACAAAAACTACAAAATGTATATATACTGACTAATCAGAGATAGTTCTTTGTACAAAAGAAAAACACATGCCTAAATCCACTATTTAAGATTGTTTAAGATTTTCGAAAATTTTTCTTTTATTCATGAAAAGATGCAGATTTTATTGAAGAATAATGAAAGCTGAAAGTAAACTTTTTCATACTAACTAATAGTAAGAAATTGATAAAATATCATTAACTATTGACTCATGATTTAAACTATATAAAATTACTAAAATCTCCATAAAACCCCCATCTGATAATGATCATATGCTCACTGGTAACTGGCTTCAAGATGATTTCTTGGAGTTCTAGTGAGAAGCAGTGGCCAGTGGAGTTCAACCAGGTCTGTTGAAAGATGTCAACTCACTGAAGATATTGGCGAATGGTTGCTCAGCTTAGTGGGTTGGTTGAAGTTGGACATTAACATAGTTGGATGCCGGCTCAGTGGGTTAGTGGTTAAGCGCTCGCGCGCAAGACTGATAGGTTCTGGGTTGGAATCTCATGAGGCGGGATCGTGAATGTGCACTCCTGAGGAGTCCCACAATAGGAAGAGATTGCCGTCCAGTGCTTTCAGGTTTTCCATGGTGGTCTAGCTTCAATTGACTCATGATTTCAACTATATAAAATTACTAAAATCTCCACAAAACCCCCTTCTGATATTGGATAACTATTTAAATTTGATGAATTCATTTATTTAAGAATTTTATGTTTTAAAGGAAATAGCTCTTATTTTTTTGTTATGTCATTTCACAGTGAAATTAATGCTTGAATGAATTGAAAAAATTGACCTAGCAACTAAGCCTGTAAAATTTGAGCAGATGTTATGTGAATATATAAGATGAAGTTAAATAAAAATTAGTCATTAAATATATAGATGACTTTGTTTTATTTTTGGTAAGAATAATAAAATTAAAGCATTGGTTGACTAAATAATGAAAAATATTTATTTGTTTAAAACAATATGTTATAGGGATTATAAGTCATTGTAGAAATTTAAAAGCCTTATTTGAGATTTTTAAGGTAATTTATATCAATTATTGGGACTGTGGAGATTGTTAAGTTTTTAATTGAAAGCATGGATCGATTAATGTTAGAGCATCGTTGAAAACCTGGAAGCACTGGACTGCTATTTCGTCTTAGTTTGGGAATATATTATTAGTACAAGTGATTTGAAAAGATGATCAAATTTGATAGTTTGCATCACGAACTAATCTTAGTTAACCGTTGCAAACCAGAGAATAATAGATAAATTTTTCCGTCCTAATGTAGAACTCTTCAGGGCCTTCCATTCAAGACCCTTACATCAATCAAATCTGAAGAACTTCAGATCTAAAGCTGACCATTTACATTTTGGACCATTAAGTTGGCATCCAATTGTTTACATTGTTAACTTGAAAAATATTATAAAGTACCGATAATAATTGTCTCTTCTGAGTTTAACACTTGGTATAAAATGTGGAAGCAGAATATTTATGTTTTATAATAAATGAGGTGCTATTAATAACATACAATTAGTTGTGCTTTCAAACTACTTATTTATTTACAGGTATCATTCAGTAAAGACATTGAATTTTCCTACTTCAGTCAATAATACTCAAGTGTGAATAGTTGTCAGCCTTTAGATATGTATGAGGTTGGAAAAATTCTTGAATTTCATTGAGATCACGAACCTATCTAAGCAAAAAAAATCATTGCAAACCTGAAAAGACTAGACAGTCGTTTTGACTTGGATGTCAGTTCAGTAATCTAAAAGATAAGCGTTCATGCTCAAAACCAACTGTTCGATTTCTGGTTGCATAGTTGTGGGTATACACTGCTAAGGAGCCCCGAGACAGAACGGAACGCTCATCCAGTGCTTCTTGATTTTCAATGATTTTCTAATTTATATAGGTTCTTGATTTTGATCTTTAGAATTACTAGTATGTGAGATGATTCAAAGAGAAAGACATCTATGTATAGATGAACTTAAAATGTTAATTCCTGAAAAATTTTAAAAGGTGTATTACAGTTGAAAAGATTTCATTTCATAACTATGCCCAAATGAGGACTTGTAGGAGTATTAAATCATAATTTCAGTTTCTACTGCAAATGGTGTCACTCTGCTTGAACAATTTTCCTTTATAAAACAATAATTATCTTATCACGACTTAAATACTTCATATAGGTGAATCCTTATCACAGCTTTAAACAAAGTAAAAAAGATAACTCTAGAATACAATGAATAGATTTTGTTTCATTGATTTTTCTATTCAGCTATGTATAAATTTAGGTAAACTTAAATGAACTAATTATCTTGTGTGTGAGTGTGAATGAGGAAAAATAGTACAATGTATCCATTGTATTGTGCAAATATTCAGATCATAAATACACATTGGATCAAATTGCCACAAATTGCCATCAGCAAAAAGAAAGTGGAAATTAACAACACAAAAAGTAAAGGAGTAAAAATTATATTATTCTTGATAGCAGGTGACCTAATCATGAGAAATATTAGTTTGAAGAAGCCAATGAAACTAGAGGATGGAAAGTATGTAGTATTAATATATTCACAAGTTAAACGAAGAAAACGAATGAATGTGTCTAGGTTGATAGAGTTTATAGAGTATTAAAGAACTGGAAAAACATGAAATTGATCACTATTTATTAACTAAATAATTGTAAATATCTCAGTTCTAAAAGAGGTCACCGGTAGGTAGAATAGCCTAATAGTAACTTTCAGTCTATGAAACTGAATGATGTGAGTTTAAATCTACTA